CCGGCTTATGCTATAAAAAAAACTTAATCCTCATCTCGACATCAGATGTTAATTTGTATTGTCATTCGCTTGGAGTAAACTATTTTATTTCTTTACGGTGGAGTTATAGATTTCCTAGCTTCTGCCAACGGCTTTGTCCGCCTTCCCATGGGTAGATAGTGACATCTGTGTTATTCCAGACCATTATCTACCCCTGTTACAAATTTCATCTAGATCTCTTCAGCCGTTTTGACGTAAAATAGTAACAGACACACACATACATCTTCACGAACTTTCGCATTTAAACTTTTAGTAGGATTTGGAGCCATTAAACCATATAGCGGCTACGTAATCAGTATATGTCTAAGGTCAGATGGAAAACTATTAGTCCGGTTGCTCCGGACCAGAACTTTTCCAGTCCACAGGGAAGGCCCGTGGTAATAAGACTAAACATGCGGATAACTCTATCAGGGCACAGATTTTTATCAAGAATTTATGCTGGTCTTTGGCAAATAGGACAGTTTTCTTTTAAGCTAGTTGGAGAGCCTCCAGACTTAACGTAAATGGAGCATTGGGTATCGAACAAAAATTATATCTACATGTAAAACACGTTTCGAGTTCACTCAAAGACATTATGACACGCTGGCTGTACAGACTACAAAATAAATGCACGATAAATCACAGGCAATTGAGATGTCCTAAGTAACCACATAAAGGCTTAGACTCACGCACTATTACCTAATAAAGCCTATAGAAGTTCAGTATTACATACGGAAGTATTCCGGACGTCTAGTTTTTGCATACAGAGGAGAGTAGGAACGTGTGTTCCCACGCGACTCTTGCGCAATGCGATCTCGTTCTGTATTGTGTTGTGGTGTGTGTGTCCGCTGTTATTGATGGTACGAGATTTTTTACGCTTTAGGGTTACAAATGGAGTGCTTTTTAGGGTAAATAAAACATATAGTATTTGCTTAACAAACCATTTTGCAAAACCTTAACGTGTATGGCCGCCATACTACTTACTCATGTAACTATTTGACGAAGTTACTCGACTAATTTCGAGCCAGGTTGGGACTCTCAAAGAGGGAAAATTATAAGTGAAAGTTTTTCCTGGCACGGCGATTGTATAAAAGGATTAAAAAAAAAGGTAAGCAAACTTAGTAGGTAATTTGATTGTCCATAACGAGAGACAAAGATATGCATCTACGAACAATATTTGCATTATATCTACCTACGTAGCTATTTTGCCTAGAACCATGTAGCCAAACCACAGAAGCACAAACCAAAGATGACACAATTACAATTCTAATCACAATCTAAAGACTTGAAACAAAAGCGAAATCACTTAATACCATTTACAGTTTTATAAGCAGATAGAAGAAATCAACGCAAGTGAGATCCGACTCGAAATAGAACGACGCAGCCATCTTGAATACTAATTGTTTGTAGTTGGATAAATCCTGTGAGTCATTAGCTTTCACTGTCTACGCAATAGGTAAGGTAAACCAAGCGTTTGTGTCATGGATTGGTTTTTATAATAGGGATGTTGATAGATATTTTTATCCGACTTCAAAAAAAAAAAGGAGATTCTCAGTATATAAATATGATTACCTCGCGATATGATCAAATGGATTTTGATGCGGTTTTCTGTAAAGTGTTTGTTACACTTAAGGGGGGAAAATCATCGAATGACTGCTCCCGCCTGGGTGAGGCGGGAGGGAGTGTCAGACTCTTACTGACTAAGAACCACTCCGTTCCTTCTCCTGCACCTCGAGCTGGAGCCCCGGTTACACGTTAGGTTCTCCGCGACATGTTTAAGATTTAGTATAATAATTAACCGAGTCCAAAAAAGAAAGGATGTAGATAAGTCGCTTTTTTAAAAGCAGTTTGTACAAGAATCATTATGACATTCTAAATAGGTACTGCGACATTTGGTGACGGTCAAAGTAGGATACAATAAATACAATTGACATCACATCTCTTCTCGTGGGTATCGTACCGTAAGAGCCGACTAAAGGATAACAGAATCCGAGGAGTAGCGCTTTTTGACAACCATACATAACTTCACGCCTGTCTCCCATAGGGGTACGCAAAGACTATATGGGATGCCAATTGCTACCATTCTTCCATACCTCTTTCGCTTCATCAATAGTCATCAGTCTTATTATGCATGCTCGTCGGTAAAGGGTACTTTTAATTTGGCCATTCTTTAATATATCGTCAATTTATATCTGTTTAGGGCGCCCTCTACCGACGGCCCCATTTATATCCTTTCTGTATGTTGTTATTTTATATTTAAACAAACCTGAATTATTGAAACTTCGTTCTCCAACCAAATTACCAAGTTTTAATATAAACTAACTTTCGTGAAACATTCTGAATTATTTATTAACAATATTATAAAGCTTACTCACGTAAATATTTGACGAGGAACTCAACTTGCTTTAAATCATGCTAAAGCCACATATTTAGATATCATGAACATGAGCAACACAACGCAAGCGTTGTTTCACGTCAGTTTTCTGTGAAAGTTTAGCATTAATAAAAATACAACAAACACAACAATTAATCAGGTTACCAAATTGATCGTTTATGGCAAACTGCTTTATGTAGAGTAGAAAATGCTCAAACTATGAGCCTCGTTGAGAGCTCTGTCAGCCTTAACTGCAGGGGTTGTTCATGATGGGGACTCTATGTGCCCATCAAGTGGCCTCAGGGAAGACGGTAGCACAGAGGTCACGTGCTGCCGTGCAAAGCGATGACCAAGGGACACGCAGGTCTCCTTAGGAATGTGCTGTAACAGGCTTTGCACCGTGAGGGCTCCGGAGCAGGTCTTCAGAGGACCCGGTGCCCCTTACAGGGGTTGAGGGGTCGCCACCAGGGTGGTTTTAGTGAGGAACGAATCCCACACTCTCTAGTCTTTCTCCACAAAACGTTAGACGCCTTAGGTTTCCCCCGTTATTAAAAAAAGGAGTTGTTCATGATGATGACATCATGTAATCCTTTGTCTAAGCTCCTAAGTACACCAGACCAGACCTACACACTTTCTCCCCAACATTGTCACATAACTAAACTAAATAACATGTTGTAAATAAACCGTAACAATACTAACTGTTACTGCAAACATGTTGATCTCTGTGCAAACAAGGCTTTCTTTGTCTTTCAGCTGTTTCCTCGTGTCACGTGTTATGTAGACGTATTGCTTTGTTGCTGAACGTTACTGAATGGTGGAAAACTGTGAACGAACTTTATGTAGGTACCTATGAATCATTTCTTCATTGTAAGGGATGATAGAGAGATTAGATAAAAGTATTTGACTTTGGCTATTAAAAGAGCCGTCTTATGCCTTTTATTAGACTGATTGGCCCTGAAACGCGGTATCACATAGCACGTAGGTACTCTTTATACACAAATAACTAAGTTACACTAAAATACAAGTTGACTGCCTCGTTGGCCGAGCGGTCGCAAGTGCGACTGTCGCACAAGGGGTCTGGGTTCGATCCCGGGTCGGGCAAAGTATTACTAGGTTTTAAAAAATTCTCACTAGTAGCACGGAGTCTGGAAATGTGCGTGGCAAGAGGCTGACCCCCTATTGCATGGGACATAAATAGTGAAAAGTAGGTGTTATACTGTCCAGTAGCATTAAGTTCGGGGAAAAAATTATGTTATGTTACTAAATTACACAACTGCTTGTTACTATATCCACTTTTACTATTATTTTATTTATTCGTTGCTTAAAAAATTCGACAAATTCCGTGCCTAATTTTAGACCAAAACTTCAAATGTCATAATCATTAAAATAGCAAAAGTCACGATGTGGGTGCTAACGACGTACCTAAGTAACAATGTACATAGTTACATACCCCATACTTGAAACGAATGCAACAAATAACTTAAATTATACATTACATTGTTATCATAGTCACCATTGCCAGCTCTCTGTTTCTCAACTACCAATCTTAATAAACACCACAAAGACATTTTCGTTTCTCTTACTAAATACGGCGAAATATCACAAAGTTCACATCACTGCTTAGGCCCCATTTACTTGGAATTCCTCATAACAGGGTCAAATATCAGCAGACAAAAGTTAACAATAGAATTACTTTCTCATAACTCCTTCTTCACACTAATCATTATAATACAAATAAATTCTACAACTTATTACGAAACTTTAAGCTCATAGCTTCTAAATGGCCAACGCATTTTGAACCTTATTAACATTAAAACAAAGTTGTCTTTAATCTAAACAAAATTGGAATCCAAGATAACTTTAATCATACAAAATTCGATCAGACTACGATTTATTAAGCGATCACCGAAACCTGTCTACTTTTCTCCTATCCATATACCTGTCCTGCTCGCTCGTTTGACATATAGTATGGTTATATGACAAGGACAGAAGACGATAAGCTATGTAGAGGACAATAATGTCACCGAAGTATTGCTTTCTTTACCTTGCGAAGTAGGTTGCTTCGGTTATGTCAGGTGTAAAAATTTTATACGAGTTGTTAAAGTGTGACTTGTGTTATTTTGGTGTGACAGCTTATGATTTATTATATTTATTTGTTTCTAAAAATGATATGATATACTACTATCAACTTTCTAAATAGAAATGAATACAAATTGCATCTTTTATCCTGTATTTAGTTACAGCAACACAAGATAATCTAAATTCAGAGTTTAGGAAGAGTCATACTTATTTATTTTTAAAATTTTCAGCTATCTACTTACCTCTATCTTATGAGAAAATTTTGAGCGCGACTTCAGAATATTGTCCGTGCACGATTAGGAGCACCTACATCAACTTCCATTTACGCAATGATTCCTAACACTTCTTTAAAATAGAACGAACAACTCTATAAAAATCCCAACCAAATCTTTGATCTCGTATATCACGACACTTAGGTAAGGTCTAACAAATGGCCTTAGTTTATATTAAAAATAGTCTCTATCTTCTCTATACACTTCCTCTCACTAGATTATGCGATGTCTATTAGCGCGGTGCGCCGGCCGGCCAGCTGACTAGTAAGCGACGCGACTCGACGCAGGCCGCACGCATTCCGACGTCGCGTACGCGTAACGTAACGTAATAATCGCGTACACACACGTAAAATATTACGCCGTGCGATAATTTGAAAATGTGTTTGTGTTTTTAAAGTGATGTTGTAAAATTCATTGTTTAATCTGTCCTTTGTATTTTTTTTTGTGTGGGATTCAGAGAAATTGGTAGGTTTTTCCATATTTTTTAATTTAGTTTTGCGTATTTCTGTGCATAACTGTTTGTTGGTTTTAAACTAAAACCTAGACCTACTTACTGATATTAGGCCTTATGTTTAGAAATGTTTATGTTCTTTTAAAAGTAATAAATTATAGTTTAGCTATGAAATGTGATCCTAAAAGGAAGGATGGATAAATCTAATATTTATATGCAATTTTAAACATTACTTATTAGTTTTTAATGATAACATCACGAATTCACGACTGTTTATGATGTCATTTTGTATAGTATTTTTACATTAGTACCGTTTTTGTTGTTTTGTCTTAGTGATAAATATTGTTTTTGAATGCACTTGTATTTTTTTAAACTCCATGTCTTAACATGCTAATAATCGAATTTTATGCTTTCATAAGATTTGATTTTAGCTGGGTGAAAAAATAACAAATAATAACATTAAAAATAAATGTGACAAGTAACATTCGAACTTATTGATTAAACTATAACACCTTTGAAGTCACGTGCAAAAACAATAACAATTTTATACATATTCTTTTATTATTTTTTTCGTTTATCAAAATAATTTCCATAGAAAACTTTCTTCTCTACGTGTGTCATTTCATAAATAATAAATAACAGTTTTAGACATTCATTAAAGAGACGTCACCCATTAATCAAAATTAAACCATTGCATTGATCATCTTCCCACTAACCGAAATATTAATTATCCAAACCGAATATGGAACTTACTTATAAATTAATGCTAATAAAGAATGTATCATCACTAATAATAAGGATTAGATCATTAGTCCTATGTTGAGACCTAATATTTCAGAAAATGGATGCGACTTGTGTAGTCTGTAAACTACTTCATCAGACAATCGATGCTATTGCAGAGCAAGAGGTATAGGCTTGTTTTTATAATAAATGTCGTGAGACATAACTAAATTATCTAAAAATTGCGGATTACTCACGTGAATATACTGAGAAAATCTCTACTAGTTTTGAGCCCACAGAGGGTCTAGGGTTTGTAGATTCATCTCGAAGATAACCAGCCTGAAACAAATAACCGTTGTCTTTCGCCGCGTGAGTGAGGTTACCGAGCCCCTATTTCCTCCCCTCCCAAATCTTCCCAATCGATTCTAAAAACCTCAAATCCCTAATCATTAAAAAGCCGGCAACTCCTTTGGTGTTGCGGGTGTCCGTAGACGGCACTGACTGCTTACCATAAGCTCGCTAACTGGCCTAATTTTTTATAATTATATATATAAAAAAAAACGAAAATTCTTATAAATAGGTAGTGTCGATGCCCAGACCCTTGTTCAGCAGTCATTCTAGCAACTACACAACACATTATTTTTATGGGATGAGCCGCTAAACGAGCAAACTCATCATAATTACCTATAGGCATCTGAAACACTAGAGGCGTTACGAGTGCGTTACCGGCCTTTTGGAAATTGGGAATTTGAGGATTGTAACCTCAAACGTGGCACAGAGTTATCCCCGTTGCTAAAATCTTAACCTTGTACTCAGCTACCGGTCATAAAACAGACAATTACACATAAAATAAGTCATAAACTCCAAACGCAAAAGGATTTTATGAACAGTTTAATGAAACAATATCCAAATAAATAAATTCCCACGACAATTATTATCTAAGAGTAGAATTTCAGCATCCGCAACTGGACGATTATATGTTTAAATTACCATAATACTTGTAATCTTGATTGTAAACATTATTATGTTGAATTTGTGATATAATGTTACGTTGGAGATTGCGAATTTTAACGCCTCCAGCTGTCGGCTTATTGGCTGTTTGTTGATGGTGGTAATTTGTTAATAAGTTGGTATGTAATAATGTGTATATATATGTATTTATTTTCTTATACTATTAAAATAATTATAATATAATAAAGTTTATAGACAGTCATTTGTGAATCCAGAATCGTCCAAAAAATATTGTATGTAATTTCTTTAGGATGGGTTGTAGTATAGGTTAACTTTTATTTACACTGTTGGAGAATAAAAGGCGTGATGTTATTGTAATTTGAAACGGAACTAAACATAAAACATCTGGAATCATACGTTGATGTCTTTTGATATAAAAGACATCAACGCGCAATCTTTAAATCCACATTCCTAGAACAAATATGATTCGCTTAACTCACATCAGTTATTTCTTAATTAAAACCGGTTATTATCTCAATTATTTTTATAAACAACAGTTTATTGCGTAGAAATAAGTGGAACTGAATCAGTGTAGGTATTATTTAACTTAGACTAAGATAAAATTAAAGAGAAGTAATTAAAATATTCATACTTCATAGAAAAGTAGATTACTTTTATCATTTTATAGACATTCTTTAGATAAGATAACTATTATCACTATATTTATTTTATTAGAAAAAACAATTAAAAAACACTTGGCGGCAATCATTTCAATTAACCGGTTAGTTTAAAAGACTCAACGGTTCAATCAGAAATGAATTTCTATTAACTAGACATTACACATAACATAACATCAGGCCTTTTATCCCCGAAGGGGTAGGCAGAGGTGCACACAGAAGTGACACCCACTTTTCACTATTTATGCTATGAGTCCCATGTAACAGAGGGTGAGCCTATTGCCATATACCGGGCACAATTCCAGACCCCATACTACTGAGAATTTTTAAAAACCGAGAATTTTTAGGTGTGATACAAGCACTAGACTGTAAAACATATAAGAAGTACATTTGTAAAGGAAATTATATCTTTATCTATATCTATCTATTATATATAATAACAAAAATATATAATAAAATCGTAGGAAAGTGGAAACTGTACATACAATATTTTTTTAAAAGAATGCTTGAATGCCAAAAATATGAATTTTATAATTTTTGTCTGTTTGTCTGTATGTATGTCCGGGATGGACTCAAAACACTTTTTGCATTTTTGATCCATGCAGCACTCTGCATGGATCTACTTCAAATTTTGCATGAATATTACTAACACGTCGGGTCAATATATAGGCTACATATTATCATGCTATCAACTACGGGGGAGGAGCTGTGAACCACTATTCCACGCGGACGAAGTCGCGGGCTCAGCTAGTAAAAAATATATCACAACAGTAAACTAGAACCAGCAGTTGGTTTGTTTATCGTTGACAGTAATGAGGTAACGAGCCACGATCGGCCTTTCTCGCTCCATGATCGAGTTCCGATCGTGTCGACCTGAGCGAACTTCTGGCATTTCCTTACACTGTATGAAATAGGCTATTACTGCTTTTAGTAATAGTAGCTTGTATTTGATCCTATTGGCTATCATGCTACTGCCGTTTCACACCTATTTTTTTTTATTATTTAATTATTAATAATCAATTTACATTGTGTGTGAATTAGAGCTTAAAACTAATAACACAAGTAGTTCAAAAAGAATTACATTCCTTAAATCGAATAACATTTAAAATTAAAATTATTGCTAAATACTGGTCTCATAACGATAAAATTTATGTGACACAATTTTTTGTTTGAAACTAGCTATTGCTCGCGACTTCGTCAGCGTAGGATATAATTACTGCCATTTTAATTTATTCCATAATACCTGAGAGCATTTAATCGGGATACAAAGTATTCTATCACTAACCATCCTATCAGCCATTCTAGAAATTAACCAGTATAAACAGATAGACAGACTGACCGAGAAAAATTGTAAAACATATTATTGTTTGTTTGTTTAAACGCGTAAATCTCCGTAACTACAAGTCTGATTTGAATAATTATTTTTGTGTTGAAAAGCGTAGTTATCGAGGATGGCTATAGGCTATAAAACATCACTCTACGACCAATAGGAGCTGAGTAGAGCGTGTGAAACCACGCGGAAGTAGCTAGTCATATATATGTATGCAGAAAAAGTATGTATGGTTATTTTTGTATTACAAACAAACAAGACACTCCAATTTTATTTATCTGTATAGATGTCGAGACAAACTGAATATATGCAAAAAGGAAGCAAGTATGTCTCGTCCAAGTAATTCACAAATTAAGAATACTGGTTTACAAATCAAGGAACAAGTTGCCTTTTGCGTACACTTGTGTAATATATAGCAGTATTACTCGTACATCGTAACAGACAATCACTAAATAAGTCAGTGAATGTAGTGACTGCTTCGTTGGCCGAGTGGTCGCAAGTGCGGCTGCCGGGCAAGGGGTCCGATTCCCGGGTCTTGCAAAGTATTACTGGGTTTTAAAAAAAAATCTCAGTCGTACCATGGAGTCTGGAATTGTGCCTGGAATATGGCATTAGGCTAACCCTCTATTACATGGGACTCATAACATAAATAGTGAAAAGTGAGTGTTACATTGTACAGTGGCATTAAGTGTTGTAATGTGCACTTCTGCCTACCACATCGGGTATAAAAGGCTTGATGTTATGTTATGTAAATGTAGTGAATGCTTTTACTTTTACTTTATTTCGGTAATTATTGTAATTGGTTTTCCTTGTATGTAGATATCTTACTGATTAGTAATCATTTATCGATTGTCTTATTGTAACACATAGTCAGTGCTACTCAATGGTTTTTCGAATTCAGGAATTGAATCTTGTTTTATAGACCTTTTCTGTTAGGAGTACATACGATTCCACTTGTTGAGGACGACAAGTCGAATTGTATTTTTGAAAATTAGTACCTTTACTAAAACTCAGCAGTAACACTAAAAACAAACCATAAAATATAATTCAATAAATGGGAACTGATTGCCCACAAATGGACATATTATATTAAACTAGCGACCCGTCCCGGCTTCGCACGGGTGCAATATGCATGTATTATACATACAAACCTTCCTTAAGAATCACTCTATCTATTAAAAAAAACCGCATCAAAATCCGTTGCGTAGTTTTAAATATCTAAGCATACATACGGACATACAGCGAAAGCGACTTTGTTTTATACTATGTATTGATAAATACAAGTTCTAATATAACAGTAAAACGATATAAATATAAAACAGTTGTTAAGTCATCG